GGACGCTCAAGGGAGCGATGGAGCTACATGCTGCTATGCTCCAGCAATCTGTTGGTAACTTAACTGTTTCATGACCCCTGAAAGGTCCTCTTCACCCAGGTCAGCTGTCCTCACAAACCTGGCCACTGATCACAAGGAGACAGACACAAGCTTGAATTGCACCTCAACAACTCCATCACCAAGACTAAAAGAAGGGTTCAAAGTCCTGGTCCCTCTAAGTCCTGGGTCCCTTTAATCCACTTGTACACATGTACCCTCTCTAAAGCACACGTATTAACACAGGCTGATAAAACCTCACTAAGCAGCTTCATGCTTTCAAGAACAGAGGAACTGAAAACAGAATAAATCACGTATTTTAACTACAGCATGGACGCATATGCCATTACATTGTGCGCGCACACACACACGCCCCACAGGCTGTATTTTGGCTGTCGCTGGTTATGGAACCTAGGCTTTTTTCATTAAACTTACTAGTCCTCTTAGCTCTGGGTCAGCTACTAGTGCCCCAGGCAAGGGTTCCTACTACAGCCAGTCATGGGCAGTAGCTTCCAACAAGCTCCCTGGCATTTCAAGTGGCAAGCCACTAAGCCTGGCACTCCTCAAGCATTGTCACACTCACTGGTGCCTGTTCAGATCCTGGAATTCTCTCCCTTAACTCTTCAGCTCCCTCAACCCCTATCATGAGCACTACAGTGATTTGCTGATTATCTTTTTCTCTGATCAGTGAGTCACCTATGCAGGCCAATTTAGGCTAAAAAAAATACTCACCTTGGAGTCTGGTTTATCTGATTGGCTATTGGCTATCAGATAATGGCTTAAATTCACTTTTCCTTTCTGTTGTATTAATATAACCTCGAAATAGATGAAAACTCCCATGTAAAGCTTTTTCTTTATTTGTACTTTTACAAATAATGTGCTTGTGTGTTTTTATTACACGGCATCCGGATTTTTATCTTTAAAAACCATTTCCCACTAAACGGAAACAAAACTCCCTGGAGAAATAGACTGATTCCACCTCTGGGGCAGGAAATTTATCAGGCAAGCCTGGAAGGAAATAATGGCGGAAGGGAGAGTTGGAAGAGAGATGTAGACGAAACAACATTGACATAATTTGATCACTGTTAAAACAAGGTGTTTAGTACATGGAAGTTCTTTATAGTAGTCTACTTTTGCATGTTTTTAACTTTTTCCATAAAAAAGAGTTTAAGGAAAGCTAGAAACAATAGCTTTTTTTTTATCAATATTTTTTATTATGGTTTTGTGGGGTACAGTTAAGGGTTAGGTGTACAATTACGTTTCATTCAGGCACCCTGTTGATAAGAGGTGTTTTCCCATCCCCAGGCAGATATTTGCTACTGTTAATCC